GTTCATGTCACAATCTAAAACCACTTCTAAGTGCAGTTTGTAAAGCCCATTTATGGTTCGCAATGTACGTGAGGGGCCATTGCGAATAAGGATTACAGTTTAGCATTCCGCTCACAGATGGAAAGAGATAGTACTATTAAAGCACAGGCTGAGGGAATAGCAAAGGTGATCCCAGTGTGCTTTCGAATCGATAGTCTAAGAGCATTCATAATGCTTCTGATATCCTCAAGCCGTGCGTGGATTTCGCAAGATGAATTGTTTATGGGTTCAGTGAGTAGGGAATTCGCATGTCTCCGAAAAGGGTCGTTGAACTAGACAAATTACTACATAGAGAACTCCCTTCCAACGACTGTCAAATTGACGTTGGGCTTAATCGTATTATTTGCTGAATTTATGCGCCAGTTTGAACATTCCGCTCGGCTTCAAATTGGCATGAAGAAGCGGAATGTGCAGCATTAATTGAGCACAAGTTACGCCTTTACGAATTTCAAAGTCAAGTCAGTCGACTATGCAAATGCGTATTTGGCGCATTGTTTTGCGTTATTTGTAGGCACGGATAGAATGAATGTGACATGAAAAACACATGGTGACATAGAATCTTCAGAACTGGTTTTTTTTTCGAAAATATGTTGGCTGTTATTTATATCATGTACCTACTCAGGATCAAACAGAAAAACGCAACATATCTTTAATCGATACCTTATATTTATATAAAAAATCGTCGAAAACATTTTATTTCTTTGTATGCCATTTATGTGAAATTGACCGGAGGAATTAAGAAATAAATTACATCTCTTAATTTATTTCTTATATATTAGTAATATATAATTTAAATAAAGTTAATTATAAAGGGGACAATAATAATTTTGAGTATATTTTCAATACTATGTTGTACAATTTCATTAATTAATTCATTAATCAAATAATACACGGCGTCATATTATTCCTTTCACTAAATGCTTTAATGTAAACGAAACAGTAAACTATGTAATAAAGATAAATAAGGATCAGTTGCAGAGCAAAACCCGTGCAGTCGTAATGTGCAAGGCTGAATTGATTTACGAGTAAGCATGTTTAGATTGGTGTAGCAAACACGACTAGATCTGAATTATTGGCGAGTGCACCTCGCATACGCTATGAGTATACTATAGGTCATTTCATAGCGTTGGGACGTGACAAATTTACAAACAAGACACTAAAACCATCTTCCCTGCCAGGGAAGTGGTCGTTTGTAATACTGTTACGTTTTTCGTACATAAAATGTAGAAAAGATACAAAGGAATACAACTATAGTTTTAGAGCAAAGATACAGAAAATAATGGACATAGAAAAGAATCATAAACATAATCACAGTCACAATCAATAAGCACAGTCTATTCTCTCTGGTTTTGGTAAAATTATTTTTCATGTCTATAATAAATAGTAATACAACAAATTTTGCATGCTACAAGTACCTACCAAATTATGAAGTTTTAATTTTAGATGCAGTTAAAACTTGAACATTAATACGTAGTCGGTATTATGCAGTGCTATATCTTTAAAAAAATCGTAATAGATATGGCTGTTGCGAAATTAAACACTTACTCAATTCAAGTTCTTCAAAGAAATAAAGTTCTAATCTCTTCATCCATTTCAGTAATAAAGATAAAAGTAAATTAAAAAGTTTTCAGAATTTGTTCATAAAAGTTAATTCTTAATAAAATTACTCATAAAAACAACCATTAAGCTAATCAACGGAGTTTAAACGACAGCGACCAAAATACTTTTGTAACTAAACGTTTTTAAAATAAGATTAATTTCACCGTATTAATATCATAATAACGTAATAGCACATCACTATAACATACGTCATACTCGTGAATGGGCACTACTTGTGTGGATTGGTTTTTCAAGTTGTCTGCTGCTTGAATTCTTTTTTCGGTCTTAACTTTAAATAATTATACTTTATTACAGTTCTTCTCCACTCAAACTACAAACTGAACTGTTTTACAATATATTCTCAATCGCATTTGAAAATAACGAACGATATTTCGATTTAATTTGATTCACTGTAAAATAATTCCTAACTGGACTTAATTAATTATTATTATTAAATATTTAAATGAACAATAATTTAAAAATTCAAAAGTTCAAGCAAAGAACAGGACTGCCTAGGTAACCGTAACAGGAATTCTGCAAATGTATACTTACACGTATATAAAGTCCCTTTTCAAATGTAGAGAAAGGCTAATAAATTATATAGACCCAAAAATAACTTACCCTCGGTTAGCACCACTCGAGAATCTCATTTCGTAAAATAATTAGGGCTCTTTATTTTTGAAGGTTATATTTTAATCTAAAAATACAAAGAGATTTTTATTTTCTCTTCAGATAAATATCATGAGTATTTTAAATTGTTCTACATTTATAAACGGTTTTCTGAATATGTAAGCAAAAAATATTGTTCTAGTAAAACTATATATTTACACATCGATAAAAAATGTATAGGTAATTTCAGTATTAATTTTAGGCTTTTCGATTAAGTTTATTTCTAGCAGACAACTTGAGATTACTCATTACCTATTACGTAATATTTTATTCATACTACTGTTATGTTAAAAGCGAAAGTATGTGTGTATGTCAGTTGTGCCCTTTAACGATTAAACGGCTATTAGAATCTCAATGAGATAGTCTTCTATCTAAAGAAAGCAGACCAAAAAGGGGTAATATATAGCTTTGCATAAATTTAAAACAATCTATAATCCATACATATAAATAAAATTGGAGTGTCTGTTTGTAATATTGAAATAACCGTTTTTTACTACATGCATATGAATATAAATACGGTACATACACCAAAATAGCATTTTTTATAATTTTTGTCTGTCTGTCTGTTTGTTCCAGCTAATCTCTGAAATGGCTGGACCGTTATGACGGGACTTTTATTTTTTCAAAAATTCAATTGTATAATTAATTTGTTTAGGTCTTATATTAACATCTGTTACTGTAGATTTCTGTATTTAAAAAAAATGTTTTATTATTTCGAATGTATTTCGATTTGAGTCATCGAAAGCCAGAATGACCACGCTGAGTGTATCACTTTGGCACATATCTAATGCATGTATTATGGAATTACATGTGAAAATGTCAATGAAGTTGCTAAATTTTCATGTTATTTGCTGTTTCTAATTTTACAAAATAAAATAGGTTTCATTAAAATGCAGACTAATTACAAAATAAGTAAGTGCCTCTATTCGTATTTAAATGAGTTTAAACTAAAAGCTAATTATTTCCTACACTTGTTACTCTAGCGGTTGATCTAAATTAGAAATTCACAGGAAGTTTTAAAGCCAACGTATATTCAAACGGAGTGTTCCACTTGCGTCCAACTCAAACAACCCCCGATTAACATTAGTTTAAAACAATGCCGGTGGATCCAAACTAACTTCTTGGTAGGTAACGTCCAGGGTTGCCAACCTTAAACGCGTAACCTCGTACAAATGTAATATATAGTACATTGACGCAATTTGACTCTCTAGGCTCGGCAAGTTTTACATCATAGTATTTAGAACGATTTTTCTTAAATATCTCATATAAACTTGTATGAGGCCGAAAATGTCCTCATACCAAGCGTCAAAAGTCATGTTATTGTTCGAGGATCCTCGTATTGTTGCCATCCCTGGCAGCGTCTATTCCAATATTCAAATGAATCCAGTGGTGCAGAAAGTCGACCGTTTAGAACTGCCCTCGGGCGAAACGGTAACTTGAAATACAGGCAGCCTAGGATAAAAGGCATACTGGATTCCACGTCGGGCGATAACATTGTAAATTTTAAAGCCGTTTGTGTTTTACTTTCTTTTTTTGTGGTTATATTACTTTATATTTGGCTTTTGCTAATTGTCACGTAACGTACATTTATTATGAGTTGACATCTGCTGTATATATATATATATATATCGTTGTATGCCATGAAAAAATGGAGCATAACATACATGTATGCGAAACAATTGATATTAAAATCATTAAAGTCTTTTTATTGCTTTATGTGTTCAGCTGAAGTCAAATTCATTATTAAAACAGTTCTCTGAATTAGCTTTTGTTGTAATAATGTTACTTCCACTATACCAACTACATGTTTTTATAATTGTAATATTATGTGCGATATATACTTATATTTAGCAGAGAAAAAATATAATATTGATAATGCCGTTTCTAAGAAATTGCAATATAAAAACTAAATTTTTATATTGCATATTCTTAGAAACGGCATTATCAAAAGGTGCTACAGTAAAGAAACCTATTAGTCATATGGATCACATTTAGTTGAACCTGGCTCAGGGTTCAGGATAAAGTCGGCGCATGCGTCACCAGGCGCCGACGACAGTCGCCTCGTACAGAAATAGCGGACAGATAGACAAACAAAACTGACACGCGGACAACATTATAATGTATTTTACATTTGCAATTGTAGGCACTTAATTAATAGTTTCAGCCTTTTGATGTCACTTATTCAATACAGATATAGCATTAATCCTACCTAATATATGTAATATACTAATATAATAAATGAGTTTTCAGTTTGTTACTTCTTCACGACTAAACGGCTGACATGATACAACGACCTTAATAAAATTTTACATGAAGATTGTATCACAAGAACGAATATAGCGCTTATTATTTATTGACAAAGACGCCCGAAATAGTTAATACTACATACGCGAAAGTAATTTTGTTTATTTTTATGTGTATTGTAATAAAATCTCATAAATACATAGTATTAAATACGGAAACGACATAAGGTCGTTTTTGTCCCATTCATACGTGGTATCGCGAATTCGCCGACAGAAACTAGTCAACTGATAAAGATTTGGTTTGTTACTAATATCATCATCAACATGATAATAATAAAATGATGCATACATTTTATTTTTAACTAATCTCAAAGTGTGGGAGTAAAATAGATTATTATTTTACTATACAAACAGTACACAAAACAATTGATCATTATTCATTAGACTCACCTGAAGATTAGAACGCGATCTCCTCGGCATTACGCCCACTACCTCCCCTCTCATTATGGATTCGATAACTGTAATACAAAATAAACAATTTACATATCCAGTAAAATAACAACAAGAAACGAATTCTGAATACAAATAAGAACAAAAACAGAGGTAGATTGACTATTTAAAATTTTAAGTAATAGCGGCTAATTTTAATATGACAGAACAAAAGAACGGAGTTCAGTTTTTATAATGAGTTAAAGGCTAATGCTCCATTTTATAGTAAGTGGCAATCGTCGCCACGTACATCACGTGATCATATCACGTTCGTGATATCAATTCCTCATGCGTTTTACTGCTAAAGAAAGTCCATTCTGCTCACTGATATTATTATAATACTAAAATAACAATTCTGTTACCTTATATCAATAGTGCGGATACTAATAATAGAAACGTACAACACAAATAGCAAAATAGATAACAATTAAAACGATCGTGATGAGATTTACTACATAATGAATGTAGGGCCACGATATATGTATATCGAATAGTCAGTAGACACGATTCCAATTAAGATTATCTAGATTGGTTCAATTTTCGATAAAATATAGAAGAGATAAAAAATAAATACAGTCGAACGAATTATTAACCCCTGTTTGGTATTATTGGTAATTAATTGGTATTATATAACGCGTGGAACTAATATTAATTTTCGTCTGTTCATATAGGCACAGTGACGTTTATAAATTCCATCTTTGTTATAATTATTTACTTCAGCCTATAGCTATTTTCCTTTAGACTTCAAAGCATATAAAGCCATTTCGTCATAATGATGTGAGGTTGTACGGCTTCAATCCAATTATACTTGAGGGGTTGTTATCCGCTCTCAAGACATTATGTATGTTACATTACAAGTAATTGTGTAATACGATAATGTAGCATGAGCAAGCAATATCACTACAAAGAGTCGATTAGTAACAGATGCCTTGACATGATAGAATTATTGCGGGAGGATTATGTAACCACAAACATCATACATCGAACCTAATCCGAAAAGAAGGATACACAGAAAGAGGAAAAAGAAATAACAGATATTTTCTATTTACAAGAGGATTTTAACACAATTTATCTACAAGTATTTTTTCCGAAGATAAGTCGGAAAACGAAAATACTTATTCACAAATATTTTGGTATGTGTTTCTAAATGTTCTTTATTATTATACTCGATAAAAACAAATAAAGCACATTATAAAGGATTTCCGTGTTAAAATATTAACTTGAAAAGCAACAATGTTACTCTTTTTCTATTTTAGTAAACACTTATATCAATATTTTTATTACAGTAGTAAAACTAAATTAGTATGTGTCTGATAGTAAACTAATTAAGTAATATTAATTTGTGTTCACAATGAGTGAAGAAATTATTTTATTGTAGTTAAAATGTTTCAATTTGAATTATATGCTAATTATTAAAACAATTACTGGTGAAATTCAGCTAATATATAATTAAATACAAGTCGTAACAGATGGTATTAATAATATGTAATCGTAGCTACAATATATCGTTACGGTGCTATGTTACAGGGCGGACGATCCGAGATAACTAGTAGTTACATAACCAGTGCCCATTGTTCTCTGTGTTATCGTAATTAATCAAACTGCTTTGTTTAATCCCTCGGCTTATACTAAACTATCCATATGTCCGTATAAAATCCTTTGTAAAATATTGCTTTGTATAATCTTCTCAATTTATATAAGTTCCTTCCTCCTTTATTACCCTAACTTACATACAAATAAATGGTCGTGTCTTCAAATCTGACCGATAAAAAAACTTTGTGTCAATTTATTCTGCTGACTGAAAATAAATCAAGACAAAATGTAATAAAAAATACTAATTTACCCAGCGAAATGTAGGCTATCAAGTAAAGCATTGCATACACCACGACGTGGTCAATTCAGAATGTCTCTGACTACCCTATCTGGTATAACATTCGTGAAAATATATTTTGCTTGTTTTTAATTTTAACTACACTACTGTACTAGTTGTGTAGTATATACGCTGATATATACGCTGATACAGATATATATCAGCGTATATATCACAGTTTCTGTCTGAAAATCATTAAATAAAATCGTATCCTCATCTATGTATATTATTGTATATGCGCCATAATATCCGACTGAATATATATAAAATAGTAAAGCATGTTAAAGCCAATATTGTAGCGTATAAGAAACAAAATGATTTCATAATTTCATATATACGACTATAGCTACAATATATTCCAATTTATTCTTGTATGTTGAGGCGTAAATATGAGAACTAACAACTATGAGAAGAAGCCTTTCTCTCATAATATTAAATCTATTTGAAGGAGAATCTTTACACTGACTTATTAATTATTAGACACTTCAGAACTTTGCTAACACAGTATACTAACAAATTAAATTAATATTAATAATTAATATTAATAACCAAATTCTATATTAAAATTGTATAATGAATATATAAGCCCTCCTTATAAATAATTAGCTATGAATATAGAATACAATTACAATTTGCTAATAAATTGAGTGACTAAATATATACCTATTTCTTTGTTAAGAAAAGTGATCGAAATACTGACTTGCTTACAAAAAAAAAACCAATGTGTCAAATATTATGCACACAAAGTTATAACACTAGTGTTAATACTATATTTTCCAGAGTTAGACGGCTTAAAAAACGTCGTGAGTACCTCAGTGTCACCTATTTTAAGCACCAAGCACTTGCTTTATAAGCTGTGATTGAGCTGCAGGGTCAGATTAGGTAGTGAAGTTTCAGGATAAAAGGTATGACATCTTAATTGTCTGGAATAACAACTCATGAGTGGTTTCATGGGTGCTATATGATAACGTGTTGTCCGTGGAGCTGTTCATCTGTATAGGCGACGGTTACCACTTAACATCAGGTGAGTTGCCGGTATGTTTATCATGTACCAATAAATGGAAAAAATTGAGATAGACAATGATAATTACCTCCATCGCCGAGGAGTCTCATTTGAACTAGTGAAGGGTCTTCACTATGCTCTTCCAGAACTGTGTCATCCGTCACCGTCAATTCCTGAGAAAAACAATTTCTATAAATAGATGAAAGTAAAGATTATTTTCAATTTCTAGTTTAAGTTTACCAACTACTTTCATTAACTGTAAACTCATGTATTATCATATTGGTCATTTTACTTCATGATGAATTAGTCAGAAGTTATCTCATAATAATATAGACACATTTGTATCTTTATACATAATAATATGTAAATACTTTGGTATTTTCTGACAATACAGAGATGTACAGGTACGTACAGTTCATATTTCATTATCGAAAATTTTTTGCACATTAACAATATATTACAAATACCGAAATCTTTCTACCTCGTTTATCCACATAATACTCATAACATATAACAGAAAACAAAATACAAAAGTACAAATATTCATACTATTCATTTGTACGGAAAAATGAAGAACAAAATTTCACAAAGAATAACTGATTCCTTAAGAACAAATAGCATTTTCGACAGATGTTTTATGTCGGTAAGAAAACAAAATTCTAAATTCTAATCTAAACTTTTTCACGATCGTTGTTTACCATATACATGCTCTACAGAGGCGTCTCTGTTTTATGTAACAGATATAAAAACACGTAATAAACAATTGTGAATATCCATCAGAATTATATACGTATGTAAATTTAAATTCATAGTGACAAACAAGGTTTACACATAAGAACAATACCAATTCACTTCGTGTTATTTTGCTAATCTATAACTAGGTTATAACCACTCTCTTCGTATCAGCAAACAATATATTCGTAAACGAGTCTAGAACAATGGAATATGTAGTTAAGTAAAGACCAAATTGGATGTTACGTAAACTAACTAAGTTTTTGTGTGACAAAAACAAAGCACATTAAATTAGTAAAGTGAATTATTCAGAGTTAAAAAAAGCATTGTAGTTTATAAAACAACACGATCAACAATTTATTCTTTGACGATCTCTATAAACATGTCGTCCGAGCAAAAGACGGAATTGCGAACAAACTTGTTCGGAACAAAGAGGAAACTTAAAGAAAGTTGGCAATACCAAGAAAGGGAGGCGAACGGGGGGTTACTCAAAAGTTTGACGTCTAGGACGCCAGCAATACGAACTTCACCAAGTTTTCCACTCGCTAATTCGCAGTATAAATTTGTTTAACGTCTCAACTTTTTAACTGTAATTACTTAGTAAAGTTCCAGATAGATTGAAGCACTCAGGAACTCTGATGCTGAAGGTCTTATGAATTTGATGAGTAATTGAAATTATTGTAGTTTAGAGTTCTCTTTGTGATATAGATAAATAAATTAAAGAATGAAATAATAAATCGTAAAAATACTGTTGTTTAATACATAAGATATAAAAATTGGTAGGTGGGTATATTATTATAAAAAATAGCAACAAAGCATTATTAAACTCTATTCAAAACAATAAGCGATACAAAGAAATGTTGGAAAAACGGTGAAGAAAAGTAGAATATTGCAACTCAAAAATTTTCAGCTGACTGCTTTATCATATCATTTCATAGTGAACATAAAACAACAAAACAGGTCGTCCTCAAAGGAGAAGATGAAAGAAAAACAATAAACTGTTTCAATAACGCAAAACAACAAAGTTTGTTTAGAGAAGTTTGCGAAGGGGTGAAACGTTGGAGATGGGGGGAAACCTCGCACCTCGAGGTAGATAACTTAAGTATTATTGATACAATGTTGTGTTCAATATTCATTCAATGAGACGAAAGTAACAACTGTGCAATACAAATAACTTCTAAATTTAACATATCAATAATAATTGAATGGGTAACATTTGTAAACTGAAAAATCATTTATAGAAGTTTATTTGAATAATTAAAACCAAAAAACTTTACGGTTAGATTTTACTCATCAATATCACGAAGATTATTATACTTTCCTATGACTTGTAATTAAATATGATAAACAATTTAATAAAAAATAATTCAATTATACTTCAAGAAATTGTAATGCCGATGGAGGAAGGATACTTAACCTTTAACTTATTCTTAGCTCTAGGATGTCTTAAGAATAGTCTTCGGATTAACAACAATGTAAAAGATAAAAATTCAAATGAAAATCTTACAGCAAGCCTCCAGATTACCCTATGATGTTATTATTTCTCATGGAAATGTATAACTTTAATAAATACTTACAAATAATTTATTCAGTGTCCGACACACATTCGATAAGAATATTTGCAAAGTTATAGTGTTTCTTATCTTTTTACAATAAAATTAAACAGAAGTGAAAGAAGGAACATTCCATTCGATTCCTACAGCTGTATCTACTGGCAAGTAATAAAACCAGTTTCTACTTAACAAGGGTTGGATCTTTATACATGCCCTTATAAATTCAGTGAAGTCATTATAGTGGATGCCAATGCGTTCGATAAACTAAACTGGTTCTCTCCTGTACTTTCCGCTTCGAAGTTATCACGTTGAATGTACAGTTACCTCCCATGCTTATGTTTTAAAACCCACTTGCTTGGTTGCCTTAGCTTTAAACTGCACCTGTTAATTATGTTCTCTTAGAAATTTAATAAGCCCTATAAATTGAGTGGAAAATATGATAATGTCTAGCAATAGCCTCATAAAATTTTATGTTCTCATCTGAGCAAAATCTTGCCAGCACAGTATCGTTTAGATAATTTTCCGTTATATACAATAACAGGCATCCAAAATATGCGTAAGTAGTGGTATGAAAAATCTCGTACTAAATCCTACTTATTTTCTTAATAGGTACTGATTTTCATAAATTGGCAAAATATAAAATCTAGAAAGCTACATTTAAATACTTAATACTGAATAAATACAAAATTTCCATAATTTCAAGTAAGATAGAATTCAATGAAAGAGGAATAGGACATATTATTTTGTTTACAATACTATGTAAATGTAAATGTAATACGTGTATTTTGTTTTAAGTAATTGTCAACCATTACAACTCAAACTAGACTAATTTTACATTGTTTGGGTAGCTAGGTAGATTACCTTAGCCATAATGTACAGTTCTTTTTATTACATTTCTATTATATTTTTGCTTGGTGTACTATTGTGACACGATGCCAAATTGTTTTGGTTTTACTTATCTAATTCTTTAAATTAATTTCTTCTTAATGTCGCTATTGTCTTTTGGGATAGAAAACTGATTACTAAGAAACACATACATTGGTATTTTTATTTTATCATGCTTATATTTATAGTAGTAACATTACTACTTACGCCAGTATGCTCATTGACGCCAACGATCACAGCCGTATACCACTGAGTTGCACCGGCAGCTCTGTACACCTGAGCACGACAGCCTCCTAGCACTGATGGTGTAGTGGTCAGTATACGCTGACCGTCCTGCGTCGTTCGCCATTCGGATGCTTCTGTAGACAACGCAGTGAGGGTGACCTCATCTACACCCACTTCAGACCCAGCAATGCGTGGGTCCCATTCCTAGAAAAACGTTGGTTATTTAATTTCAATAAACTATCAAACTAACGGTCTTTTTTAGTAACTCGACTAATAAACCTTTTGCTTGCTATCTATGTACCATGTCCGGTTGATCTGCTGTTCCACCTGGAAACCGTGGTAAAATATACCTGGTAAATTGATACAATGGGCTAACTGACCTGACCTCATGCTCATTTTATCATGCTCCACTAATGACCCGCCAGCGTAAACCATGTGCGCAGTCGGGTGCACCATTGCAATGTTGTAACGCATGTATTGTAAAAACGGTCTTATTTATGTAATAGCAAAAAAGATGACGACCCATCCAATGGTAAGTGGTAACCGTTGCTTATAGATACAGCACCACACCACAGATACAACGAAATGAAAATGTGATGTCAATGGTACGATACTAAGGCGTCCTGCCTTACCAAATAATCATTTACAGGATAAATGGATAAAAAACAGAGGTAACATCGTAGCCGGATTTATATTAAGCATCCCTACTTTAAAAAATCTGGCTACTCAGAGTAACACCTTTTAAAGTAGAACTTAACAGTATACCCATACTATAATCCTATTATTATCTGAAATAAGGATCTATACCTAAATAAAGAAATTTGTGAATTTGGATATTTCCTTATGCGGGAATTCTTTTTATCTAAATATATCAAATACAAGGTTCTCACAGTCTAAATATAATTCCTCTTTCCAGCTAAACCCTAAATAAAATTTTGGTAGATCCACGGATAAAGAATGATAAATAATGCTATCCGGTTGTCCCCCATACGATTTTAGATATTCTATTTTAAATAGCTGCTTTAAAATGTTAATTCTATATCCTATTAAAGTATATATGACAAATGACAGTAGAAACGATAAATCAATATCCTATTTGACACCATTCCATCGAGCACTGGCTTATAAATAGTGCAATTAAAACACAATCGTTAGTTTTATGACCTCGTATCATACGTAAACATGTTCCACATTATCACATACCTACAACTCATTATTATTACCTATTCACGTATACCGCATTAAGTGTAGCAATAACTCACTGCACACGTATACAATTAAATATACATGGTGGTTCAAGATACATACATAATAGTACTGTGTATGCACACGAATGCACTAGTATTTATGTCAATGTTACAACACACACAGAGGAAGTGGACTCACACCTGTGCTTGCATGGCCGCATGCATACGACTCATGCCCGGCGCGCGGCGACAGACGTATCCGGTGCGTTGAACCCGTCCCACTCTCCACCTCTGGTGTAGGGGGACACCACTACAATGCCTATATCCATAATACCTATAGTATCAACCTCAGCCTGCCAACACTATTGGACTATTCAGGGTCAATTCTAACATTTGTTTGAACAATTGGTTGTGTAAAAACTAATGAATAGATAGTAAATTAACAGTAAGACATAACTGTGTTGGAGCAAACAATAGACTATTATACTTATTTTATTTTAATATTAATAACGTTATTACAGTTTTCACAATGTTATTACAGTAAAGAAATATATTTATTGTTTTTTATATACCTACTATCAAATATGTAAAACTATTTTATCGACATGCAGGATTTCCAAAAATTAAAAATCAGTAATATTTCTAGAAAGTATCTTAATTGATACGACATTTTATTTATCAGTGAAATGTTTAAATATTATAATATATTTATTTATATTTGAAAAATATATAAAATTGTAGTAAAGTTTTGAATAATCTATACTACATATGTCAATATAAATTCCCATATATACCTATATATATTTTTCACTTAAGCATAGCGACAACATTTAAATAGTAATATATTGTGAATATTACTTTCTCTAAAGACCCAGATTTGCCGTCTTAATTCATTTTATCTATAGGAAACATTAACATAATGGAATGAGAAATATAAAGTTGCGCAAAGAATTACCTTCGACCAACAGCTTTGAATACCCACGCCATTGTTATAAAACGAAGCAGTAAAGTTATAAAGCCGTGCCCTTTTATATTTTTTCACGGTCAGGTATTTGTGTTCCTTGAGTTGCGACGTCGTAATCGTCACTTCACATTTGTTAAGTTACGGCCTGATGAGCCTGATCTCCGGAGTGAGTCAGCGATTACGCAACGTCTCGTCTCACTGTTTATTTTGTCCGCCGGTTACTCTATTTAGTGAGATTACTCCGTGATTTATACGAGGTCGTGGCCTGGAAAGGCGAGCGCGGATCACAAAGGGATTACTGCTATTTGGAAAGTGATGAATGCTAGCAAGAAGAATCACCATCAATTCATAACACAGCCTGTACAGTTATGCGTGTTATGATTCTTATAAACAAACAATAAGGAACGAGTTTACAATTGGAAGTCATGAATGAATACTGAAATTTAGATTGCATTTTCGATAGACTTGAGTCTATCGAAAATGCGTGTGAAAGTGTACAGTTTTAGTTATTTTAGTCTTGGCCATAAATTTCCCTATATCCTAATAATAACATATCACTAGAGCCACAGACACACTGAATAGTCATCGATTTAATAACTTTGACAAATAATAACATTGACCACACATACATATATTTATTGTTAACAGTACAAATTACCGCCACATTTTTCTACTAGTATAGAATATGCTGATTATATGGTGTACATTTCCTATCAACACTACTTAAACACCATTATCTTTTCAGAGAAGCTAATGCAACGAGTTAGGTATACGAGGCTTGCAAAAATAATAGCCATCTATCTTAATAGCGAAGTTTTGTTACGAGCCGCCGGCAACCAGGAAGCTATTACAGACGGCACACATTCACGGATCGAGCGCCTTCATTCAATTTCCTGCTGATTCCACTTGCTTTGATACCGCTACGATGCTGATAACAGCTTTTATAGGCACAGATAAAAACATAGTAGAAATGTCAACATGTAATTTATTTTTAAGCATTTTTTGTTAGTCGTCAATAAACATAACTAATAACAGAACTATATAAAAATAGATTGTAATAAATAAAGAAAAAGGAGCTTTTCGATAACCGTAGATAAATTTGAACTCAAAACCAAGGCAATAAAATTATTTTTCAGTGAATCTTTAACAACTTAATTAGTAGTTTAACCAAATATAGTTAATATTTTTTATTATACTGATCAAATTAGAACATCTATAGAAAGACGAAGTAACTGACGATATTGTTTGGTCTAAAATTTCTATATATATATGATCTACAAAATTCATATTTTCCCTTGTTTGTGATTTCCATATCTACGGATCTCGCAGTATGTAAAAATATTTTATAAGCCTGCAAATATGAACAATAGGAACAAACTCAGCAATATTCTTATAAATAAAATATAATGGCATAACATAATAGACATGTTTACGAGTATCCGTATATCTCTAAATTCAGCTTAGCATGTTCTTTACGAAAGAGCGCAATTATTTTCCTACTGCATCAATAATAATGAAATGACTGTATGCAAACAACTCGAATTACTGGCGTCTAAAAACGGTGAACGATAAAAAATATAAATAAAAGTTTTACGATAAACATTTTCATGTAGTACTCTTTATTGCTTTCTTCATAGCTAAATAGAGTATCTAAAGCACCGAACATAAAGAAATCGTTTAAAATCGCAGACAATGCGTTTAAGCACAATCCATCAGGGATAAATCGTTTGCGTGAATGCAATTCCCAATGGGAAAGAACAAGAAGCACGTAAATAGCGAATGTGGAACATAAATTGAGCTCGTGGGTTACTGTCTACAATTTACCGCAGTCCAACAATATATTATTGCTATAAAATAAAACAGAGCATACGAGAAATACTGCTCTAGATAGCGCTTACATAAATTTAGTTTGAGAAGGACATAAGTTTATACATGTAAATGTATACAATAAAGAGTAAAAATTTGATGTTCTGTATGTTTAAACTGTACTGATGGTTTGGAAGTAAAAATACCAAATTAGTTTTAAAAATTAATCAGTCCCACATAAAAAATAGACAGTATTATCGATTATTAATTGTTTGCACAGAGTCTGAGGTATACCGTATTTTACAATTAAATTAGTGATACATAATAGTGTGTAATAAAGACTGAGATAACAATGTGTCACTTCTCAAAAGAATAACTGAAATGTTATACGATAGCAAATTGCTTCAAGTAGATGCTCTCGAGTAAAAATAAATTTACGTAATTGGCTGGTTCGCCTTGAACTATGAGGATTGAAGAAACTGTGAGGTCTAATGGAATTTGCAATAAAAGCATCGTGTTCACATACACAGCGAAATTCAATACTGCAACTACATATTTCAATATTGTTGACTCATAATTTAATATAATAGAAATTTTGACATAATACAAAGTATATTTTTGTATTATAGAAACTAATTTATTTTTCCATCTATTCAAATCTTTTTTACAATATATCACTACTACTAATAATCATTCTAATTTTATACATTTAAAAGCGGTAAATTAAACATAAAAACAATTGTAACTGATAAACAGTTACAACTACTCACTTTTCAATTATGTAATAATTATAATAACATTATATATCTATAACACAATTCGGTGTCATTTTTGATGACCTCTACGTCAAATTTCGTCCAAAATTTAGCAAATAACCCATCCTGATATAACGACATGTATAATATTTCTAATAAATTGGTCATTATTACAAAAAATGCTATTGCAATTCACTAAATTAACCGATCATTCCTGCCTTATACCTATTTGTGCTATAAGGTACATCGAAATACCGTCTAACACGAGTCTGTCAATCAATGGTGCCACCCTATGGTTAGGATGAGGGTGGGTGTAGACGCTGGACAGTATCTAACTGAAACAAACTTTACTCGTTTAAATTTTGCGGACGGTTATCGAGTCGGTTGCGTATATTGCGACAAAGTTAAGAAACACAGGGACTCCCCTGCCAGTTGTCTAATTACATTTAATTATGTTTTACTTACTACTTACTACTTGACAAATATTTTTAA